GTTGTAAATTTGTCATGTGTTTCTGAAGCTAAGCAAATTGAAGGATTAGACTCCTAAGCATGCAGATGTATCTTTCTAAATAACTGGATGCTGATGCATGTAGCTGATCAAGAACTTTATTATTTCAATACAAGGTGTATCTTACAAGCACTTGGACAAACTGTCTCACTTTTTTTGTTCATTTGCAACTGTCTTTTGGGGTTTTCCACCTCTAATGATAAAGTTATTTGCTTTAAATGCACTACACAAACAATCACGAACATTAGTTATTATTTTCTCAGGCAAAGCCATAGCAGGAGAGATTATTCACCTTGTTACTACCAAAAGTTGAGATAACAAGTCTTGTTGGTTAAAATAAGAATAGCTTACAGCTGTAAAAAAGAAATAGAGAAAAAGAATAGCTTACAACAGTTTGCATATAGTTATCCTATTGTGCTTGGTGTCGAGCAGATGCTGTGTGTATAAACATCTTAATTTCGTGTGATCATTGTGTTCATGTCCTTGTAGTAATTGCCTTTGATTGGTAGTCCAGATGTGTGGGTGAGATGGGGTATATTACATAAATGCATTCTTTTGGGCATCTTTCATGTTTAGATGTGATCAACATACTATGTTGACTAACTGTGCCTCGTGGATGGCAGGATAAAACCATTATTCTCTGTAGGATCTGGATATTTTTTTCATGCTTAAAGCATTTGCTCATATCTCCTTTTAGTTCTTTTGTGTTTTAATAACAACCTTCTCTTTCATCATATTCAGGTCAAGCAGTTGACGGAGGATATTCCATATATATTGGATGCTGTACAGGGTTCAACAGTAGTGGAAGTACAGGTACAACTTACACCCTTTTCACTTCTTAACATCTTACTATGTTTTATAAATTCCTTAATTTATTTCTTGAGGAACATAGAATTAATTGATAAGTAGGTGCCTTTGCTGAGATTGTGGCGACGGATGCAAAATCTGTCGATCCAAAACAGAGTAAATTCCTTAATGTACTCTGTTTTAACAACTTCCACACTAGTTGATGCAAAATCTGATGCAGGGTGAGAAAATAAGGAGACGTGGCGATTGGATGAGATGGACATTGTCATCAATTCCACATCAATATGAGATTGCTTCCAGTGCCCAATCTCCTCGAACACCAGACCACGATTCAGTCATTGCTCAGATGCATGCCTTTGGACTAGAAGAGGGTTCTTCCCTACATGGTACAAGTCAGATTCATGGGAACCCTCTTAGTATGAGTCAGACTCATAATGAGATGCCTAATAGTAGATCGCCATCTGGGAGTATCGACAACCAGATGTAAGATGCTCCCGCTGAAGATGGAAACAGCCAATCATCACTGCAATGAGTCAGAACTATCTAGGGTGTGTAAAGATCAGACCGGAGTGATTTGCTTAAAATCAATCCATGAAACGGAAGAGATGAGCGTGCGATCCTTTAGTTGACGTCTTTGCCTTCAGCTGCAAATGCTCAACCAAGATAAAAAGGGGGAATAGAAGGAAAAAGGATGATTTAGATATAAAACAAAGGCAATAATTTAAATCCAATAGCTTGGTTGACCGACTACTTCTCTCTAGCTGTATAGTTTGGTTTGACTTGGGCTGAATGGTGCTTTTTGACTGGTGATATCTCATTGCTACCGAGTTTTGGGTCTCCTTTTTTCTAATCCCCCACTATTTTTGGGTCATACACCGGCATTTTTTGGGGTAGAAATGGATATTATCGGTTCTTATGTTCCAAGAGCTGGTTTTGTAAAAATGGCTTTATTCCTAGCTGGAAACCATTCCCTCAAATTGCTGACGGTGTTTGTGATTCTCATTTTCTGTCATTAAAGATTCTTTGTTCGAATGATGTGTAAATTTTGTTCTTGCTGATGGATTCTGGTTATCAGAGTATATGTATGTGTCGGGTTAATTCAGGGTCAAGTGCGTCTTCGATCAACTGAATTTTATGGAAGACCTGACCTAGTGGTGCATTAAGGCACGGCCAGCTGATGGTGACTTTAGCAAAGATAGGGGTACCATTTATGAATAGTGCACTAGTATTTATGCTTTCGCTCGTGATGTTAAAACAAAAATACATGATTAAATCTTCTGCTTTCAAACTCAAAGTGTAGGATGTGTGAGATGGTGGCGTGATTTTGTTTTTGGACTTACTCTGAGAGGATCATTGATTGATTACTCTTGATAGGAATAATATCATCAGATTGTTAGAAGTGGTTGATGGTTGTTTATTCGCAAGATATTTCATAGAATATTTCGTATATTTACGACCAGACATAAGAGATTATTTTAGCATCGGAGCACTTTTCATCATTTATGTTTACGTCTTTGGGCTGGTGATATTACCTTGGGAGCTTGGTATTTTTACTTTGGAGACACCTTAGATAATCTTATGCACACATGGCCTTCGTATGACATCCAACAGGGTGAAAGAATGAGATAGAGACTGTCCCTCATCGGTCTGCCAAGGTCCAAAACAAGCAGTAGTTGCAGGGTATCTCCTTCCTTTGTCAATCACGTAGAGAAAAGGCTAAGGAGAAGTTAGTTATTAGAGGCAGTTGAAAGCTACCTCATCGTAGAATATTTTACAGAATATTTTGCTCTTATATAACCAGGTATAAAAGCTCATTTTAGTATAGTCGCAAAGGAGCATTTTTACCACTCGCGTCCACATGCATCTATCTCGGGTTACTAACTTGGGCATCAGAGGGATTCGGTTGGGAAACCTCTTCCGACCTTAGTCTTTGTATACATGGCACCTCGAGAGCTTGACATTTTTACCTCTGAGGTATTTTGAATAACCCTGCGTATACGGGTTTGGACTAAGTTGGACTGACTAGAACGTCAACGATATCTTCCTATAATAACTCCCAAATTAGTGATGACAAATTCATTTGATCTTTATATCATCGTAATTGTGTTTAAGAAAGCATTAGGTGCCAAAGTCTCAAAACGTTCGAGGCGATATGTGCTCGCGAGGTGTTTCCGAATATTAAAATTTATATATATCTATATGTACGTGTAAATTGAGAAAGAGAGGAAAGAAATCGGTGAAAGGGTGTGCAGAAAGATATGTATGTCGAGGCTGATCATGTGATTCGGTACATATAATACCACCTCTTATTTGTTTAATTAGCAGAAAATATGTTGTTGCTGTGAATACTTTTTAGAGTTAATAATATGTCATCCACATCATCATTTGCCATATGTAGGAGGGCCTTTTTCATTCGGCACTCGTTAGAATCAGTACATGAAGTTTTACCTTGCGAACAATGTGTTTATGTTGGCGATCCCAATTCTGATTGGTTAAATAGAAAAAAAGGAACGTAGTAGCTTAACTAACATCCTCACGAGTTTCTTTGAAGTTCTTCTAGTAAAAGCCAGGCTCCATTTTAGTGGATTCGCCACAGCGTTGCATGCTTTGCTTCCTTTCCTTCTTTTTTATCTTTTTGGACCCCCTAAAGAAGATTCTTCGGTTGTGCATGTTACATAGCTTTCTCTATATATATTCTATAGAGAAAGAGAAAGAGAAAGAGAAAGAGAAAGAGAGATTGTAAATAACTGTGTTCGATTACTTACTTCCAGCCATGGCACTGCCAAGACAGCACAAATAGTTTGTTTATCCGTTTCATAATCCAGCTCTCGATCCAAAACAGGAATATTAGTATTTCTACTTTTGTTATTCATTCGATAAGATGCTGTCTTCTTCGACTTTAATCCTTCAAAAGTCGTTCCATCGAGGAGAATATGGTTCCCACATATAAAGCTAGCTATCCTTCCTTCCTTCCTTCCTTCCTGCTTTCTCGCGGTGTTTCCACGTAAAATACGCCATGACGATGAAGATACCAAAAGGTGCAGCGAAACACGGAGATGCATTCCGGTCGTGACAGTGACAGGTATGTCAAAATATACCTTATCAAAAATTAAAATATGATATTAATATTATTTTTTGGAGGAAAGGAAACAGAATAACATTGAGGGTGCAAAATTCACCAAATAAAATAAGAAAACAATTTATTTTTTTTATGAGTTCTTCGTCTTCTTGACTTACTACTAATATCTTTGCTTTCTTTCCAATCAGTTTCACAGCCCCTTTACCTACTCATGTACGAATAAAATGTCAGATGAGCTGTTGGACGGATGCTTTCAGATAGATTTGGTGCACGATCTTGAGAGCTCCAGCATCTTGCATAGGGTTATTACTGTCAGCTCCTCCGACGAAAATTACCCAAAGGGGGTCAGTGCTGTAAATTTCTGGTACGGTCTACGAACTCTCCCCCCCCCCCCCACCTGATTCGAACGTTGAATCCGTACCGAGGAAACCTCGCAAGCAAAAGGTCCGGTTTTTATTGGCCTCAGAATCCCTCCTCGATTGACACTGCATCAGATACCAGAATCTCCTGTGTCGAGTGCCGCCCGGTGGTGGCCGTAGATTCTCCTTGTCTCCCCCTCCCTGCCACTTCGGCCTCTCTCTCTCTCTCTCTCTCCCACTCGGTGGATCTACCGACGCATGCAGACGCCGCGCAGTGTTACGGAGGCGTCACATCCGACATGCACGCTGCTGCCTGCCCTCAGAAACACCCCAAAATATCCATCTTGAGGACGCCGCACATTCCCTCCCATGCCGTGCCCAAGGCAGCCACACTGGGCTCGGTAGGAGCTCAACCCCGGCGTGGCGGAGGCCGGACGCCACTCCATGTGAAGCCTGGTCTTGGATTTGACAGATGATTATTACCTCGGTACTACGGCTTGGATTCGTTGCAGACCTGATGATGAGACCAGGGAGAACTACTGCATGCTGTGTGTGAAGCCATTTAAGCGGGGCTAAACCTGTTGAGTATTGATTAAGTGGGGGTGGTGGTAATCTGCAGCGTAGTATAAAGCGATGACACGTTGGTCTTCCTTCCCGGCTCTTCCATTGCCTTTTATACACACACAGGCAGGCCTCCTCAGACAAGCCATTCTTCTCTCTCTCTCTCTCTCTCTCTCTCTCTCTCTTACTGTGTTGCCATGACCGATGATGGGGCAGTCTCCTCTGCAGGGACCTCTTCCTCCTCTCCATCCAGGCCACCCCAAACCCCCAGGAGGGCGATGGAGGAGGTGTGGAAGGACATCAGCCTCAGCAGCCTCAACCAAGACGTGCCTTCCGCTCCTCCCCCGTCGTCACTCCACTACCATCACGCCTCCGCTCCCACCGCCGCCGCTTCCTCCTACGTCAGCGGGATCACCCTGCAAGACCTCCTCTCCGGTGCCTTCACGGAGGCGGATCTGATCCCCCCTGCATGCACCCGCCGCCCTGCCGCCCTCAGCCTCGGCTCCAGCCGTCTCGGCCCCAACTCCAACTTTAGCAACAGCGGGGGCTCCTCCTCCAGCGGCCGCGCCGGGATCGTCATGATCAAGCACGACGGCTGCGGCAATGTCGCCGACAGGCGGAAGAAGCGGATGATCAAGAACCGGGAGTCGGCCGCCCGGTCCAGGGCCAGGAAACAGGCATGCACGACCTGCTTGAACCCATGAATCGGCTTTGCCTTCCTCCCAACTCTGAGTTCCTGAGTTGTTGCTGCACAGGCTTACACAAATGAGCTGGAGAAGGAAGTGAAGCATCTCGTGGAAGAGAACAAGAAGCTGAAGCTGAAGCTGAAGCAGGTGGAGGTACTCCTGTAGACTGAACTGCTCTTCCATGTCTCCCAAATCTAACTCACTGCTGCTGCTTCTCTACATGTGCAGTTACGGAAGCAAACGATGGCTGCTCAGCTTCCTGTGGCCAAGAAGCGGCAGCTCCGAAGAGCCTCAACAGCTCCATTTTGAAGAAGACGAGAACAACAGCAGCAGCAGCAGATTCCACCACCTCTTTCTCACTTCTTACAAGACAGTAAGTTGAGTTTGTCACAGGTTTTGCTTCTGCAGGGATGGCAAGCTTCTCACAGAGGGACATGGCAGTTTTCCAGTATCTGGATCTGTTCCTTCTGTTTATATCTCCCCCTCCGCAGAAAAAAGAAATGTTGTCTGTCTCGTGGGCACATCTCTCTCTCTCTCTCTCTCTCTCCCTCTGTGCATATACATATATGGACATATCTTGCATGTCTCCTCTTATCACAAGGTTGTCTCCTGTTTGCTCTTTGGGCAGCAGCTAGAGTTTGATGATGGTTGTGTTTCTTGCCAAAGATCAGCTTGTCTGCTTGTCGTGTTTTTTCGCTGTCACCCTCCCTCTCTTCCCTCCAGGAAACCCATCTTTGCAACAATTAACAGTGCATCTTTGTTAATCCTTAACTGAACAAGAGAATCCACCATCACTAGATCAAGACAGCCACCTACTAGTCTCCTCTCCACCTCCTAAATCTTTTTTCTCAAGGAAGCACCAACTGGTAGGCCAGCCTCTGTTGACATGACACACGAGCAGTCTACAAGCAGCACTGCATAACATAACCATCTGCTTAGAGAGAGACAGACATATCCAAACAGGATTTAGTGAGGCGAAGTTTTCAGGGTTACTGCATCAGATGATAAAACCGTACCACTGTCTGTGCCGTCTTTTCCAGCTCAACGAGAGATCCAATGGTGATTCTCGGAGGAGCCACCGAGAGCCCACCACCTTGTCTCCAGCCTTTTGTCTTCGTCTCCTTTTGGTGCTGAAGACGTGCACCTCCTTTGTATCAGTGAGCCTTTTTATATTCCTTTCTCGGAAACTGTACATGATCTAAATATCTCGGTCACCAATGTACTAAAAAGCCCAGAATTTTCCTGCTTTGATTAATATCACATCACTGATGATGTCTGAACCACCACACTCGAGTTCTCCTGGTCTTCTTTCTTACCTGCGAAGGAAGAAGGACCAACCTAGGAAGATTCTCCAAACGAAAAATCATATAAACTTGAACCCTGCCACTTTCGATCTTTATAAAACATACATTTCATCAAACAAATACTGTGTGAGAGTAAAGCAGCATGAGCAGTTGCCCAGAAATGGTCCTCAGCTTTAGAAATTCTCATCTTTATTCTCTAAGATGACCTTTTTCCACCCACTTTTTTTTTTTTTTTTTTCTTTCTTGTTAGAATCAGGTATTCTTTTTCTCCATGTGTGGATACTATGTTTCAAAATAGCAACTTGCTATAGACAAGAACAATAGTGTGTTTCAGTTCAGATATAAAATAAAACGTAGATAAAAAAGAAATAAAAATTGTATGCAGGTGAGGCTTATGTAATGCAGGAAACATATACCGAGTGAGTAAAGACTTCATGACACAATCAACAATATCTACCAAACAAGTGTTACACAATCCTAAAGAAGATTCGACTTTTTTTGCAATTCTTCCTACTAACGAGCAAAGCTGATTCTTGAGGTTAAACATATGCATGCTTGTAAACTTTTAAAAATCTTATAGCCACTCATAGATGTGGACGACTTAGAGATGTAGTCTATTAAAAAAAAAGTGATTAGGTTAAGATGATTAGACAAGCCTATAGTATATCCTACATCATCACACTAGATGGAAGGAAAAGGAAATCTAAAGGTACCCATTAAAATGGGAAAGATAATGTGCACGTACCACAAGAAATGAAATTTAAAGATATCCAAAAAGAACAGGAAAAGTTGATGTGCATGTACCAGTAAGTAGACTGCATGAGAGAGTAGGATGACATTAGATGCACGAGAAAGCCATTACCACTTCAGCAATTTCCACGATGCTATGTAGCCTGAAATTGCAGAACAGGTTGAATCATTGTGTCACCACATCAACCATGCAACGTTTGCATGGTTTGGTCATATTTGATTGTACAGTAGCAGAACTCTCATCAATTATAAAGAAAACTGCATGTGTTTGGCATCAGAAGTCATCCTTTGAGGTTGATCAAAGCAAATTAAATTTTGCATGTCAAGGAGTAACCACGCCAGAAGGCATCCTTAAGAATGTCAGTAGCTAAAATAGTAGCCAGATTGTCTTAACACATTATAAACAGGAAGATAAGCTGCTAAGACATTACAAAGATTAGCAAAATATTAGGTCTGGGTTTCGATGAATTTACCTTGCCAAATGCTCATGAAATGCTTCCACAATTGGTTACTTCTTCAAGCCCTTCGTAGCCTTCTTAATTTCGGAGCCAATCGTGATCTCACTGTTCAAACACTTGCACCTGACATCCACTAACAGCAGAAGGAATCAAGCAGGACATCCGAATAGTTTAAAGATCAGTCCCCATCAACGAAAGTTATCATAGGAACATATATCTGGCGTCTGCTTATACCCCAGTCAACTCGACAGCTTAAGTTGAAGATCAGACACTAACACTGTCCAAATCAGGGTTGAAAAAAGAAAAAAAAAAAGCTGGATAGAACAAAAATTTTAACTGCACAAGATAGCTGCATAGCAACATCAACAAAAGCAAGTAATCCATTTTCCTATATTCAGACCTTCAGACAAGGAAAATATTCGTGAGTCAGCTACAGTGGCATATTGACTAATAATCATTGTCATTTTGTGTGTCACAATCATCTCGATAAATGCTCTCAGCCATCTGCCAGACTTGAAGGATATTATCCTCTGCCACACTGGCAATGACCCATGGCATTGCAGGGTTCCACGAAAATTCTGATATCTTGGAAGTGTGACCTCCATGGACGAAGAGAAGCTCTGGTGGTCCATCATCAGCATCTTCAACTGTCTGTTCATCTCCAATCCTGTTCATTCATAAAAATGGATGAGGATTTTAACGCTAGACATCATGCAATGCCTAGGCCAAATATCTGATCTGGAATATGAAAGATAAGGGATGCTAGGTAATACTGTAATAATCAGCTGATAAGAATATGCTGAAACATTAACTCCAACAGAAACAAAGCTAATTATAATCAGATGTCAAGAGTCCTAAGGATGATGGAGAATATTATAATAAAGGACATATGGTTTGATGTTCATACTAGGTTTAGATCAAGGATTGCAAAATCGTACCATATCGCCTGTACCAGGCGGTACATACCAGTCCGCCAATAGATTGGTATGCAGACCGCCCGCTACCGGGCGGTACAAGCACTTTGGCCCCGTATAGGGCGATACGGGGTTGTACCGAGCAATAACGATCGAAAATTCAACCGTTATCGACTTGTACCGAGCGGTAACGATCGAAACCGATAGTTACCAACTGTAATAGTGCTCTAACGATCAATTTGACTGTTAGAAGCCTGCTCAACGATTTTAAACTCTTTCCTCTCCCATATTTCAATCCATTTCACTCTCACTCTCTTAAACTCTCTCAAACTCATGACGATCAACTTACGATCATCACCACATTGATGCACCAATGACATACGATGTATTAATACACTATGTCGTGGGATCAATTTCAGAATTGAGTCCGACAAACATATTGCTAGTCATAGGTGCCCAGCAAGCTAATCACGTGAGTGATGACACGTGTGACTTGACACAGAATCTTTTTGCTTATTATATTTTGGTATTTATCACTTTATATTGACTGTTGCATATATGTATGTATATATTGTGATGTCCTTGGATCTGTGCAATGAGAATCCAATCGTGATGAGATCACGATAATGAGATCGATTCACCTTTCAACACAGATTCTAAATAATCCCGGTCATAGGTTAGTCAAGAGGGACATCGTGATAACCGGACAGACTGGTGTGCTGTATACCCGTCCATATGATAGATGCAGTTGGTCTCATAGCTGCTCGTGTGGGGACACTAGGGATACAATACAGGTGCTCATTGGAGAATGAGTTCACTGATTGATCCGCTTACGGAATGTTGGATGGTTGATGATTCCTTATTGTCAGACAATGATTCCGTAGTCCTAATGGTCTATTTGGTCCTTAGACTTGAGACACCAAGGATGTCCTGTATGAGTGCTCCACTATTTGATACCAGACTTATAGGTTTGGATGTCCCAGATCTAATACAGCTGGTCATTGAGAGTGGAAGTCAACTTTACGAGAGCTATTGAGTGTCGATAGAGGATCATCCACTCTCGATATCATAAGAGAAATATCCCATGTGTTCTTGCTAAGACAAATCCCTGGCCAGGGTCATTCGGATTGAGAGAGAAAGAGTTCTCCGGGAGAATCCGATTAGAGCGAGACTCGAGAAGAAACCGTATGAGTCTGATAGCACTAAGCCCGATATACGATCTCTGGGATATTAGATGAATGAGAGACTATAGGTATACGGTAACTAAGGACAGACAGATCCAATGGATTGGATTCCCCTGTATCGTGTGGGGATTACGACGTAGTGGCCTAGTACGTCCGTAGTCGATGAATCGAATGAATTATTATAGAGATAATAATTCACTAAGTTAGAAGGAGTTCTGACAGGTATGACTCACGGCCAGCTCGATATTGGGCCTAAAGGGTCACACATATGGTAGGCATTGCGATGAGTAGAGGTTCGGATATAAGATATCTACCAGAGCTCCTATCTTATTGGACATCCAATAAGTCCCTGAATTATTGGATCCTATGGACGAGATCCAATAAGAGCCCATGAGAGATTATTGGATAGAGATCCACTAATCTAAAAGGCTTGTGTAATTGAATGTAGATTCAATACCCACTAGGGGAGGATCCATTAGGGTTTGACAGGAGACCTCTATAAATAGGAGGGATTCAGTGGTTCATAGGCTAGAATCTTTGCTTGTCTCTCCTATTCTCCTCCCCCTCTCCACCTTAGAGCAGGCCTGGAGTTTTGAAGAGCGTCGTCGTAGCCCTACTGTGTGGATCACCGCTAGAGAGGATGACGTTTGACTTCCTTCACCCTCTCCTAGAGATCTGCAAGGAAACAGAGATATACGATCTCCCTAGGTAACACAATATATTCTATATGCAGTTTGTTTCGCGAATTTTTTTGCGCACCAATCTTCGCACGACGACGAACATCTTTTTGGAAAATTGGGGATTTTCTTTTCTTGTTCTTCCGCTGCGCATGTGATGTCGCCCCCAAGATTTCTTAATACATATTATATTGATATACAGATACATAGAATCGAGGACCCCGATCCACCACCCGTGGAGGCCCATTGTTTGTTTTGATGGTAGAATCAGGTATATCTACACATGTGATTACTTAATTCATTGAATTTTAAAGTTTAAGTTGTATACAAAATAATTTAACAATTCAAATAATGTTTCTATATATAATTCAATATTAATAGAAGGATGATTCGAAACATATCAAAATTGCAAACATTGCACAAGGCTACTCCTCAAAGCACGAAAAAAATATGTGACACTATTCTTATCTAATTTACATTAGTTTTCCTAAACTATACTAAATGTATATTTATTTTTAACTTAAAAACCTTATCTTAACTTTATTTTCTATTTTGCAGGTATTTTAGGAGGGCTTTATGCTTATTTAGGCATTCTGATCGGTACACCATACCGTACCGTACCAAGCAAAGCTTGGTACACCGGTATGGTACGACATTTAGAACCTTGGTTCAGATATCTAGCATTATCTCACAATATCCCAGGTAAGGTGTATGCAAACATGGAGTTCCATGTCTAATTTAATGACAATATAATCCAACCAACATATTCTGATACATGATTCTTTAGATGCTATGAAGAGTTCTCATCACAGTATACATTATTTCTTTTATGAACTTTATTTTTACTGCAGTGTGCATTACTTACTGTTGCTCTGAAAGCATAAGCTACCACAAATGCATGTTATATGAATTCTAATCTCCACTAGTTTGAATCTTCAGATGTACAAGAATTGGTGAAGGCTTAGCGTTGCTTCAAAGATCCAATCCAACAAGCACTATGCAATTATACCAAAATATAATTATTTTGGGACATTTACCAAACTAGTGGAGATTAGAATTTACAGGAGATTACTTCATCAAGCTAA